AATGGGTAAATGCGGGGTTGGGTGGCGGAATTTTTTAATATGGGGTTGGGTGACTTGAATGGTTTCATGTGGTGTTGGTTGACTGAATTGTTTCATGTGGTGTTGGTTGGCCGAATGGTTCAATGTGGGGTTGGGTGGTCGAATGGTTTAATGTGGGATTGAGTGGCCGAATGGTTTAATGTGGGGTTGGGTGGCTGAATGGTTTAATGTGGGGTAGGGTGGCCGAATGATAAAATGTGGGGTTGGGTGGCCGAATTGTTCAATGTGGGGTAGGGTGGCGGAATGGTTTAATGTGGGGTAGGGTGGCCGAATGATAAAATGTGGGGTTGGGTGGCCGAATTGTTCAATGTGGGGTAGGGTGGCCGAATGGTTTAATGTGGGGTTGAGTGGCCGAATGGTTTAATGTGGGGTAGGGTGGCTGAATGGTTTAATGTGGGGTAGGGTGGCCGAATGATAAAATGTGGGGTTGGGTGGCCGAATGGTTTAATTGGGAGTTCAGCGGTAGAATGATTTAATGTGGGGTTGGGCGCCTATTAGTTTAAGGTGTGTCATTGAGTCAAGTGGCATGGTTTCGATTCCCCGCTTGTACGTGGCAAGAAGTAGGATTGCCTGTCCAACTGAATAATATGTTAGTCCCGAAATGACCTAGTTAGTGTCAAGTGGATGTTAAACCCCATTTCTCTCTCTCTCTCTCTGTAAATCATTTTACCGCTAGAATTGTAACATCATTCAATGTTGGATGTCGCTAGACTGGTCTGCAATTCCCGAACTTATAACTACAGTTATCTACCTTAAACGCAGACATGTGAACAGTTGCATCCAATCAGAGGTTGTGTCACAAACAGTTGCATCCAATCAGAGGTTGTGTCACAAACACACTCAAATCAAATATGGCAGCTTGTATGGAAATCTTGCCATTGAACAAACCTTGAACGTTGAAACTTGATTATCACAGGTAGACATTTTAGTTGCAAAGCGCAAGACTTGGTATTCGCGATGATCGAGGAATCTTACATAAGGGCGTGACAACCTGGAAGGAGTTAAAGCGAGATCAAGCATTTTATTGAAAATGGGTATAGGAGGCACCTATGGTATAATGGGGTATCTAGGTCATAAAAGGTTTCGCATATGTATGGTATAGGAAGGGACCTAGGGTGTAGGAGGGCACCTAGGGTGTTTGAGTACACCCAGGGTGTTTGAGGGAACCTAGGGTACTAGGGTATAGGAGGACACCTAGGGTCTTTGAGGACATCTAGGGGGTAGGGGAGTATCTAGGTCATAAAAGGGGTTCATATATGTATGGTATAGGAAGGGACCTAGGGTATAGGAGGACACCTAGGGTGTAGGGGGGTATCTAGGTCATAAAAGGGGTTCATATATGTATGGTATAGGAAGGGACCTAGGGTGTAGGAGAACATCTAGGGTGTTTGAGGACACCTAGGGTATAGGAGGGAACCTAGGGTGTTTGAAGGCAAGATTATCTGAAGATTACCACAAGATTCCACTAGTTTCCATTAATTTCTCATTGTTTAAGACAAATGTTTAACAATATTAAGGTATACAAAAACAAATTACTTTGCACCAAAGAAATTCTACGAAAATGTAAAAAAACAAAAAACAAGAGAGAGTTAGTTTCCATAGCAACATCTGTCTTCATGGTATTTTTTCTACAATTTTTACATTCTGCACCAAAAATCCAAAAATACATGTTGATGAGAAGAGCAAAAAATAGAAAGTAAGTAGATAGGTTTACCATTGTCTGGTGTAATAATGGGGTTCACTATGAACAGTTGGTTTTACCATGAACTGGTCTAACAGTTGGTTTTACTATGAACTGGTTCAACAGTTGGTTATAACATGGACTGATCTAACAGATGGTTTTACTATGAACTGGGCTAACAGATGGTTTTACTATGGACTGGTCTAATAGTTGGTTATAACATGGACTGGTCTAACACTTGGTTTTACTATGGACTGGTCTAACAGATGGTTTTACTATGGACTGATCTAACAGTTGGTTTTACTATGGACTGGTCTAACACTTGGTTTTACTATGAACTGGTCTAACAGTTGGTTATAACATGGACTGGTCTAACAGTTGGTTATACCATGGTATGGTCCAACAGTTGGTTTTACTATGAACTGGGCTAACAGATGGTTTTACTATGGACTGGTCTAACAGTTGGTTTTACTATGGACTGGTCTAACAGATGGTTTTACTATGAACTGGTCTAACAGTTGGTTATAACATGGACTGGTCTAACAGTTGGTTATAACATGGACTGGTCTAACAGTTGGTTATAACATGGACTGGTCTAACAGTTGGTTTTAACATGGACTGATCTAACAGTTGTATGTGACAACTTCGTGGATTTTCTCTGGGTCCTCTGTTTTCCTCCCACTGCTAAAGACCCCTACACTCAAGTGAATTATTGAAATAATATTGAACCATATGTTAATCTTGAAATGACCTGGTTTGTATCAAGTGTAGGTTAAACCATTTGTTTTTTTAACAGGATATTTGTCGGTTTTAGATATCTAGCTGTGGGCAAACAGATCTCATAACAGGATATTTGTGCGTTTAAAAGAAATTCCAGAATGGAATCTGGTTTCAGTGATCAGATATCCGTTTAGATAATTAATTTATTTGGCTTGTACCCATCAGTCCAATAAACATGGTAAATAGGAGATAAATGGAGAGAAAGAATTTGGTAGAAAGTTTATAAATAGACCTGCAGGCTAATTATCAACTTCTATTTTTAGAATTCTGGCTATAAATAAACCAGCTTTTAAATATGGACAGTTCCAAAATAAATATTTTGGTCCATGATAGATTTTACAGATAGACAGAGATGGCTGCTGGGTTATTTCATGGTACTGTTTTTATACGCTCACGTTGAGAGAGAGAGAGAGAGAGAAATGGGGTTTAACGTCCACTCGACACAAACCAGGTCATTTCGGGACTAACATATGGTTCAATTTTTATTTCAATAATTCGCTTGCGCATAGGTGTCTTTAGCAGTGGGAGGGAACCGGAGGACCCGGAGAAAACCCATGAGGTTGGACAGGCGACCCTATTCCTTGTCACGTACAACCAGGGATTCGAAACCACGCCAGTTGACTCAATGACAGACTTAATGATACAGCGCGCACATGCTAACCACAAAGCCATCCAACCCCCCACGCTCACATTGAACTTTGGTCGTATATTCCCGTCACCCCTGTTGGTCTGTCCATCGTCTACAGGCTAAAGTTAGCATCTGATTGACTTGAGATTTATACGCAGTGTTAAACGTCATGTGATGCAGAATCCTATTGAATTTCCGATAATTACTGCCAGAGTTATGGCCCTTGATCACTTAAAAAATCTTGTGGATGCGTTAGAGGCTAAAGTTAGTATAAATTTATAGATAATAATTAATAAATTCTAACGAGACCAAAGTTATCTGCCAAGGTATCTATTACGTGCACGCCAATGTATACACGGGATCTTGGTTTTTCATCTTATCCAAATGACTACACAACTGTCCTTGTCAGGTCCTCCTTCCTGCACCACTGACAAGGGGGGAACCACGTCGGAAATTAACGATGAACTTTCTTGGCCAATGCAGGGATCAAACACGCGACTTCCGGGTTAGCGAGCCAGTGTCTTACCCACTTAGGCACCATGGCTCCCTCTATTTAATATGTAAATACACTTCATTAGTTAAATAGTAGTTTAATATTGGTAGATCTAACCGGATATTTAAATGTCGATTTCCTGTGTATAGAGTTTGACTGTAGTATAGAGATTAAAGCTATCAAATGATAAATTGAGAGGCTTGAGATTCCTGTCTATCAGTTGATGTAGACCGGGTTATCACTCAAAGATAAAATTAAGTAGATTTTTCTCAAGGTTTGTGTAGTGTGTTTCTGATACATCAAGGTAAATGAAATAAGATGGAGTTTAAAATCCTACTGTTCTGCTTTGACTGATCTATTGAAGATGACTGAGGTAATGAAGACGATATTTTAAATGAAATGGGGTTTAACGTCCTACTGTTCTGCTCCGACTGGGTGAATGAAGGCGGGCATATGCCATGCTGTGTGCTATGAGGGAAATTTTGCCCGGACAGCGGCACTAATGCCAAGGGGTCTTTAATTTAATGTGCACATGTACATGGGACCTCTTTTTTGTCCCATCCAAACGACTCTATGTTGTACCCTTGCCAGACCCTCTATCCTGCTCCATTGAACTTTCTCGGCCAACGTGAATGGAGTTACATGCTGGTGATAAAATGACTACACAATTGTTCCTTTGAAGATAGATTAATTATATCTTTGGCTACTACAGCCAAAGTAAAAAAAAAAAATCTGAATATGGCCAACTGTCTTCCTAATTAAGTGGTTTCCTTAATGTTCAGATTGTACATAGTATACATATAATCAGTATAGTGCTTGATAACGGCAAGAGAATCATTGTTGAAACTTGCTTTAATAGAAATACAGTATTTGTTATCCATAGAACTGTTGTGTTTATTTTAATGTGTTCAATTACGAAATGCCATTCAGACTTCCAAATCTGATGAGTATTTATTTATGATGACCCTAAAGCACGAGTTGAAAAACTTGTGTTAGGAAAATTAACTTGTAATTACTATGGAAACACAAAAAGAGAGAGAGAGAAATGGGGTTTAACATCCTCTCGGCACAAACTAGTTCATTTCGGGACTAACATATGGTTCAATTTTATTTCTATAATTCGCTTGCGCGTATGGATCTTTAGCAGTGGGAGGAAACTGGAGGACCTGGAGAAAACCCACAAGGTTGGACAGGTGACCCTACTCCCTGTCACATACAACCAGGGAATCGAAACCACGCCAGTTGACTCAATGACAGACTTTATGATACAGCGCGCACGTGCTAACCATTCAGCCATCCAACCTCCACTGGAAACACAAAAGATGAACTTCTGTTGGCACTATCGGTATATTTTATGCACAATTTTTTTTTCTTTTCAGGGGACAGTGAGAGTAAGAAAGAAAAGACCGTGCCCCTGTCTACCATTCCAGAAATTTTCACATTTTTAGGTAAGTTTGTTTAATTAGTTATTGTAGAGAATCTCGGATTATGAACCACATGGCCGATTCTCACTATGGTATGACAGTTGATTGACTTTTTAATTAACAAGTAATAATTAACATGTTTAAATTTAGCCGAAAGTAGATTGATTTATGATACCATAGTGGCCAGTTCATTGTTTTACCAATCGGCAAGATTAAACATCAATCGGCAAGATTAGACATCAATCGGCAAGATTAAACATCAATAGGCAAGATTAAACATCAATCGGCAAGATTAAACATCAAGATTAAACATCAATCGGCAAGATTAAACATCAAGATTAAACATCAATCGGCAAGATTAAACATCAATCGGCAAGATTAAACATCAATCGGCAAGATTAAACATCGATTGGCTATTATTAGAGATTCTATGTGACCAAAAACTATTTATGTTTTTAGACATGATAGAATTGAACCTGGAACAAATCGGCGACAATTCCCACACGTAGTTGTTGACTCTAAATAGAGGGGGGTTCGGTGGCCGAATGTGTGCATGATATAGCATAAGATCTTTCATTGAGTCAAGTGGCATGGTTTCGATTCCCCACTTGTACATTCAGTAGAGGTCCAACCTCAAGTGTTTCTTGGGGATCTTCTGTGCTTTCCTCCCACTGCTAAAGACCGCTATGTGCAAGTGAATTATTGAAATAAGATTGAACCACACTGTATGGCGTATGCCTGTCTTTATTAGCCCAGTCAGAGCAGAACAGTAGGACGTTAAACCTCATTTCATTTCATTTTATTTCTTAATAAAAATCAACCTGCGACAATCAAATCAGGCAAAAAATATCCTCTCCCCTCCACCTCTTTCTCCCGGCTTGTTTCCCATTGTAATAGTAAGTCCACAGGTGCACAATACATACAAAACGAAACCGACCAGACAAACTTATAGACAAGACAAACTACACAGCCATTGTAAGAAATAAAAACAAATATCAAATCGAGTGAATGGTAGTGCAGGATAGAGATTCTGGCAAGAAATACCTCTAGTTCATCAGATGAGACCAAAACAAGATATGATTGACAGCATTAGCATAATTTGTTCACAAAGATCTTGATCACCATGGTGTATGCCCATCTTCATTAGCTCGATTTGTTTACAAAGACGTTAATCCCCATTTTCAGGGCAGAACTTCCCTTGAAGCTGACTGCATGGTGTATGCCCATCTTCATTAGCTTGATTTGTTTACAAAGGCATTACTGCCGTTAACCCCCATTTTCAGGACAGCACTTACCTTGAAGCTCACTGCATGATGTATGCCCATCTTCATTAGCTCAGATTTGTGCAGAAAGACATTAAATCTCATTTCATTTGATTTTATTTCAACTGTAGAAGATATTGAAGTACTTTAATATCATTTCCAGATAACAACATGTGCTTTATCTGTTTTCGACATTTCCAGCCATCCTATGTTTTTACTACAACATGAATTTAAAATAAATAAAATTGGGATTTTTTATTCCTGGCAACCGTTTCTATGATAAATCATCTTTCCTCTGTTTTAGATACAACTAGTTTTAAATAAAATAAATAAATAAAATAATGATTATATCCCCGGCAACTGTTTCCATAATAAATCATCCTTCCTCTGTTTTTAGCTACAACTGGTTTTGAATAAATAGATTAATAAATAAATAAAATAGTGATTATATCCCCGGCAACCGTTTCCATGATAAATCATTCTTCTTCTGTTTTAGCTAGTTTTGAATAAATGCATGAAATATGAATTATATCCCCGGCAACCGTATCTACAATAAATCAACATATAGTATATACTACATATGTTTTGTGAATCACGAAATCAAGGTAAATGCACATACTGAGCGTTTTTGTTTTTGTGTCAGTGTGCGCCCTCTGACCCTAACAGCTGCTCCTGGTTTACAGCCTGCATTTCTATTTACCTCGATTTATACACAATTTTGATAAAATCTACCCTGTGTTTATTTTATTGGTTTATATTTCCCTAACTTTCATATCACATTTTAAAAAAAGAGAAATATTTGAAATTTTTCATAAAAGCTGGATAGTTTTAGTGATATCAGTTTTTTTGAAAAAAAAAATGTTTGAATTTTAAAGGAGCTAAATCGCTAATATTTTGGACCTAGAAATTGGTGCAAATGGGTCGCAACACATATAATAATGGAATATGAATTTATATAAACTGTTTTACATTCAATCGTCTCCGTTTTACTGTGAATTGTCATCAGTTATGTTCGGCGAAATAGGCCAGAAGTCTCAACCGCAAGTCAGTTTCTAGCGTCCGGTTATTCCAGTCAACACCAATATTATTTATTGCGCATGCTCTCCAAATAAGAATATGATATCACCGTTTGACATGACTTGTGGAATATGTCTAGCCTCATTCTTTGAGCACCTTGTTACAAATGGCGCTGAAACGCATTATGGTACAATGGTAAAATGTTTATTTTGTCTTAAATATTGGATATCAGAAGCCCATTTTTTCCAGGTAAGATCACAACACCAATGCTGATTTAAAATTGCAAAACAAATTGTGTTTTCAATGTCGAAGATTTTGGATGATATTGAGTTACGGACTTAGCTACTTTAAAGGAAATTTATAGCAGTCTTGTGTTCTTGAAGACATCATGGGGTGGAATTGTAACATGTTTTATGGAATTTTTGACTGGTAGAACCACTGTAGGGTTTATTTGCATACACCTGCATGTGTTTGGTAGGTAGTATATAATATATAGGTAGTACTGATGGTTGCTATGGTTACTGTGGTCTATCAGCCAGTATGTTTTACTATGGTTGAATGTCAATAGTTGATTGTTATAGAGATTAAGGAAAGGATTGGCAGGGAAGAAAGACATTTTGGTACACTTTAGAGTCTACCAAGTCTCGATTGGGGGTTAATTCGAACATCTTAGCAAAATGTTACTTTCATTCAAGCCAAGCAGCATTGTCACTTGTTGCTAGTTGTATGGATGGTATGAAAATTTGATAAAATCAGAAACTTTGAGACAGTATTTCTACTCATTTAGGTACATGTGTAGGATTACAGCAGAGTGAGCATTCCAAAGTACAATCTACAAACTTTCGGTTCTAGAACATTCCAGTACAGTGCACCCTTTTTGTGGAATTCCTTACCCCATCATCTTAAAAAGCTCCATCACTTGAATCTTTTAAAACAAAATTAAAAACTCATCTATTTACCACTGCGTTTTAGTTGGAGTGGATCAGGATTTGTGTGTAAATAGTGACCATAAAGTACATAGTACGCGCCTAGAGCATGCATTTGTGTATGGATTGGCCCTGCACCAGCAGTGAGAGGTCCCCCCCCCCCCCCGCTAGACCCCCCACCCCCCTCTGGACACAGGCCTGATCGAGCTAAACTGCAGTTAATTTAGTTCTTATTTAAAGGTGGCCATGCTGTATCTAATCCTAGGCTATGGAATCGACCCACTAACTACATTGTCATTTGTGCCTAGTTGTATAGATGGGGCAAAAAAAAACAAGGTCCACCATTTACACATTAGTGTGTACTTGAACTCCCTGGACCTCCACCCCCTGTGGACACACTCCTGATAATTTTGTTATGATTTAAAGGTGGCCATGTTGTATCTAAGCTTAGGATATGGAATCGATCCACTAACTACATTATAAGAGTATTATATATTGGGGATCACGGTGGCTAAGTGGGTAAGACGCTGGCTCGCTAGCCTGGAGGTCGAGTGTTCGAACCCAGATTTTCTGGCGTGGTTCCCCCTTGTCAGTGATGCAGGACGGAGGGCCTGACAAGAACAGCTGTCTAGTCATTCAGATGATACGAAAAACCAAGGTTACATTGGCATCCATGTAAAAGATCCCTTGACAGTTGGAATTCGATATAAGAGTAGGCCGTAGTGCTGCTGTCAGGGCAAAATATCCCTCATAGCACACTGTAGGTTGTATGCCCGTCTTCATTAATCCAGTTCGGAGCAAAACAGTAGGATGTTAAACCACATTTCATTTCATTTCGTACTATATATATTAACATATGTCATAATGTAGAGATGAGCCTAGTCATGTTATACTGGTATTATATAGGATATGGAATCGACCCACTAACTACATTATGAGAGTATTATATTATAACATTAGAGTATTAGAGATGAGCCTAGTCATCTTGTACTGGTATATTAGCCTATACTGGTATATATAGTATATTATTTAGGATATGGAATCGACCCACTAACTACATTATAAGAGTATTATATTAACATATGTTATAATGTAGAGATGAGCCTATACTGGTATATTATATAGAATACACGTGTATACTCTTTACTCTAGCCGGCCGGTTTCTTCTTACTCATATCTGGCTAGAATCCAGGTTTGACATTTAGCATTGAGAAAGTCATTGAAATCAACCAACAGGTAACCATACACTAGAGAGATGGTTTAACGTTTAACGCAAACACAAACAAGGTTTCACGTTAACCCAAACACAAACAAGGTTAATTTGGGACTAACATATGGTCTATCTGTATTGAAACTAACCAACAGAACGTGAACTCAAAGACAAGCTAGGTTAATCTGGGACTAACATATGGTCTATCTGTATTGAAACCAACCAACAGAAATGGTTTAATGTTAACTCAAACACAAACTAGGTTAATCTGGGACTAACATATGGTCCATTTGTATTGAAACCAACCAACAGAGAGAATTAAATGTCCACTCAAACACAAACTAGGTTAATCTGGGACTAACATATGGTCCATTTGTATTGAAACCAACCAACAGAGAGAACTAAATGTCCACTCAACACAAACTAGGTTATTTCGGGACTAACATATGGTTTAATTTTATTTCAATAATTGGCTTGCATTCTCTCTCTCTCTCTCTCTCTCTCTCTCTCTCTCTCTCTCTCTCTCTCTCTGTTTAACTACCATACTTGTCTAGACTACCTGGTAGTTACCTTCAGCAGAACTCTTTATTTTCTGGCAAATTCCTAAAC